CGTGTTCGTTTGTGATCTGCTCTGTGTTACCGGACATAGTTGTACAAGTACAGAAGGACTGTCCCGTGTTCGGTTAGCGAAGGTTCAGAGTAAGAGGGGAAAGGTTTGGTGAGTTTCATTCGTATCTTTGTTGGGTAGTTGCATTTTATTCTTTACTTACGGAAAGAAGGTGCAATGACTTCTCTCTTTCGTTTTTCTTTTGGCAAGGGGCTTATACAAGCACTTTTTGGGGAAAATATCAGCTGTTTTTGAGACCTTTTAGCGTTCGTGTCTTTTATTGACTGCAGTTCCCGGTTCCCGGGGTTTATGTAATGTATTATTATGTATTTTGTAGAAAAAAACACTGACTGGAGCGTCAACGGCGCAATGAAAGAAGAGGTACAGTCGGACACAAGACTCGCTAAGACAGTGCAGACGACTGTCTCCTTTGATTCGACGGGTTTCCACAGTGATAAATGACCGTAATATAAAACTAAAGAGTAGCGTATAGTTATCAAAAAAAGTAACATCTGCCAGACCAACACGAGGCCTAATCGTAATTGTTTTTTATTTATCCTGATCTGAAATTCCTTTCCGTCGAGGTATTCAGGGGCTCACATTTATTGCACGTTTCCTGCCCATCACAGTAGACATCACAGCACACTGTCACGTACGGATCATCATTAGTTTGGTCAGGAGTCACATCAAAATAAAAAAAAAAAACAATTTTGACGAAACGCACTACGAGTCTCTGCAGCTATTGCCGAATAACTGAAAAATAGAGGGGTTGACATAATGCCGCTGCTAATGATGATATTGCTGCTCTTTCCTATTGGAACGGGCGGGCTCAAACTGAGTTCGTGCTCAAGCTTGGGACCCTGTGGGACTTAATGGCCCTCGATGTGAACTTTTTTCCTTTAGCCCTCAGGCCTTTTTCTGGTCGGCTCTACAGTAAGCTTGTGCAGACAGGTGGAGATCACGTTCGGCTTTGTAGCAGGCATATATGCATGTTGCATGTTTTCTCCGCCTTGTTTTGCCAGGTTGTTGCGGCTGCCCTGTTGGCATAAAAAAGCACAGCGCCTCATCGAGCGCCAGGTGGTTCCGAGGATGTGATCCGTTGTCCTGTGGTCGGTCGGAGTAAAGCTTGTTCAATGTAGAGCGATGCATGATACCGTTGTTTCGTGAGCCCCTCACGCCCCGCATGCTCTGCACAGGTTCGTTTTAGTCTTGTCAAACCGCTGCTCGTAATTCGGAGTCTGGAGGGTCCCCACTGGTGCGTTAAACAGTAGGCGACTGCCTAGACTGTTGCCGTACAGCCGGGTCTCCGAAGTGATGGTCTGCTTGTGTATCACGTACACATTTAGCGTCAACTTGGTTTGGCCGTCTTGAAGCCACTGCTGGGCCTCTTGGTCACGAACCCCTCTCTGGACCTCCGACTCTCACTCTTTCGCCGCCAACGCTTGTATTGGATTAGAAAAAGATATGTACTTGCATTCGAGCTGATTGAGGCGCGCCTGCCAAAGGGTTTACAATTCAGTTAAGTGCCTGAATGCCGGGCGGCCCAACACCACCTGGTGACCGGGCCGATAGCGTGACGTCTTAGGAAGAGTGGAGAGGCCTTAAAGTCTAGGTTTTGTTTATCTGACTCGCTGTAGTCCGACTCTATTCAAACTACGACCGGCTTGAAGAAAACACACATCCTTCATACACCACAGCTGTCTACCGCACAAAAAAAGTAACCCTGGAACGACGAAGGAACGAAGGGGAACCAGTAGATCCATCAATACGACTTCAGCCATTCACGAAGAAAGAGTCCAGTTGAAACGAAGATGCCGTACCTTCATTCGAGGGGTGGGGTGAAGCGGGGAGGGGGCTTTGGTTGTTTTCAGCATTGATATCACCGCCCACGGTTAGGGAAAGATTCACCTGACTCATACGCGAAGAAAACATAGAAGGCCGAGCGAGTGCTGTTTCTTTACTTTTCGCGGTTTTGGGAAGGAACTTGATTCCCCACCACCGAAGGTGCACCGCTCCTTCTTTGATTTGCTCTCAATGTGCTGCTAGGTACCAGGTATAGAAAACACGGAATCGTTGTAGTCTTGCTTTTTTTTGCGGTATAACTTGACCATCTTTGCGCTGTTCCTCCCACGTGGCGAAGCAATCGTGGTGGTGCACAATCCACCATAAACAATGTGAATTGAGCTTCCTTGTACTGAACATACTCCGAACGACTCCGAAATTGGGTGGCGGAGAGAAGGATATGGAATTTTGCGCCTTCTCGCCGCAGGAGCGGCGCTTCGAAAGCAAATGAGAAAACGGCCGCCGCGGGCAGAGCTAGATGCAAACACTTCCTGTTTTCCGCAACCACCAAATTGGCTTCGGTGGCAGCGATTTTTTTCGCAAGCACAAAATACACCATAAAGACCTGGAGCGTCTTCATTCCGCAAATCAATTGAGAAAAGTAACCTATCGAGGGAGCTTGGCGAAAACGTTATTCACAAAGTTTCCTCCGTAGACTGCAGCGATTGGCTCACCAAAGTGTTTTGCAGGAACCTAGATGCTCCTGAATTCTCAGAGTGTAGGCTTATGAAGGGATTTATATTTTTATGCCTCTAAGATTCATGAGTAAAGGACACTTTATTAGTTAAGTGATTGAACGATGCATTAGCTGCACATTTGTTAGAAAGTGTGAACTTGAAACATTCAAAACAAAAACTAGCACATTCGGATAAATGCGCGCAGGTCGTTCAAACTGTATGAAATGGAATATTCATTGACCAGGGCTCACGAATGTTTCCTTGTATATCAATCAATGGTTACACAGGATGTATTTTTAGACTTTACAGATTTGTGAAAAAAGCCGTGAAAGTCACATTAATGTGGTCTGTGAGTAATATCATGAGCCCCCTGCGTTATAGCGAACTCATCATCAGGATAAGTGGAATAATAGACTAAAGTTTCTTCATGACTTTTGATTAGTGAAAATATACATATGGTTCCAATTAGAAACTTGCTTGTTGCCATCGAAATCAACTGAACCATGTCGGATCGTTAGACCTTATACTACGCCCGATTTAATCAAGCCACGGTCGAGTCGTTGTCATGGAAGTCACCCAACGCAGCAATTGCAATCAAACGGTTCGCTAACTCCCATTCAACCGCCCCAAGTCCCGTTTTCCTCCAGTGGCGGCTGCAGCTGAACGGTTATCTCCATAAAGACTTCAGTCGAGGTCCTCTTTTAAAGACTACCTATGAGTTGAGAATCTCTCTCCTCAAGACTTTCATGAAGTTTCCCGATAAAGACTCCATATGGGCCATGGGCGAGTGCTACGGCGCCTGTCTGGCGAGAAATCCCGGCTCAGTTCTGTAAAGCCGGGGTCACACTGCGTATTCATCACACAAAAGACAGCCTGAGTACAGATTTGAACGTGAGTTACGGCGGGGTTCCTACTTTGAACCACGAATAATGCGGTGACTCGTGTTTGCGGACTATCGTCTGTATGATGTATGAGGAGTGTGACCCGGCTTAATGAGAACCTCAACGGATGTTGTATAATAGGCAAGCGATGCATGCCATCCCCGACGCTGTTTACGTGATGGTGTTCAAAGGGCTCCAGACTGGCGGGCCGGGAATGTCGGCTTCGGCATCGGATACGCTGGAGGAGTCAACAAGTGTTCACACCGACGGGAATGTGGGCTTCGAAACCGGGCACGTGGAGGCAAAGCCAAAGATTCTCAGCAACCAGTAAACTGTATGGAAAGACTTCGAGCGCGTGGCAACGCAGTGGTGCGCTGGAATTACCACTCGTGCGGCAGGCACAATACTTGCGGTGCAAAAACGCGGATAAGAGACAGAAAAACCACGAGGACCATTTGTTCACCGCCAGCCTCGAGCCTTGAGGCTACAGTTTTGGTTTCCCTCCTTTATGTGTTCGGAACGAACTGACTTAGAATTGAGTAACCTGGAAAACAAAGCCCATCTGTGTGTGTGTGTGTTATTTTGTTTAGCATGAAAGCGTTAAGAAGCTCGTGTTGCAGAAAAGCCGGCGACGGCGTGAGTGTCGGTGGGTCGAGAAACTTCTGATTGGTCGAGAGGGTCATGACGTCACAGACACATGGCCTCGCGCTTCAGTTTTAGACAACCCACAACGCTCACGTGAAACGGGACGTAACGAGTGTAATAAAAGTGATTAAAACCATGACATGTAATTCGATTAAAGGTCGCCAAACGTCTCCGATTGTGTCACTTTATGATACAATTAATTTTCCTTAAAAAAAATTAAAGAATTTTAGGCGAGATTTCAACCCACGACGCTTTGGTTGCCAGCCAGAGACTCTACTGACTAGGCCACACAGACTTATTTTTTATTTATTGCAGATTTTTACATGGACAATACGGACACTTCTGACCCTCTAAGAAAAAGTTGCATGCTGGCAACGTTGAAGGGTTTAAAGAGCGCCACCTCCTGGACATTCGGCTCGAGGGAAGACGTTAAAATTGTATCAGCATAGGCCACGCAGACACGCTTTCACTGCTTTTGCGTTTCACTCTCGAAAGCGAAGCTTAAGCGTCCTCCTGAAATTTTTTTTGACGTTGTGGACGATTTTGGGGAAAGGGTATAAAAGCGTTGTATGAAATACATTTTGTTCGCTGTGTTTGAGACACTTGTCTGTCACCTTTCTTCTGTCCCTTCTAATATATCTTTAAGTTTCCTTCCCAGTCTGAGGGCTAACATCATGATTATTACGCACCAGCTCGCCTGCACGTTGACTATCTTTTATATTCATTTTTACCAATTAGAAAGTTAATGAACATTTTAGGTAATTATTCGACTTGTCGCGACAATTAGCCTCCTTTGCATCGTCGTGTAACTCACCTGCACAGCCCACATTGGTGTAGCTTTCACGTTTTTTTGTTTATTTTTTTTTGTTTTATTTTTAAGAACTATCTGTAGAGCCTAGAAACACCGTGTATGACATGGCGTCGTAGGCTTCGCGGAGAAAACAAGAACAGGTCTTACCGTACCGGACACCCCAGTTGAAAGGCTAATATGATGAGCGTTACAATATTCATACAAATATCTCTCAGCGGAAGTATTAAGGGCGCCTGAGTCTGCATGGTAATTTCCGCCCTCGATGATGGAACACGCATTGTATTTGCGAGTTCCGCTTGCCCCTGTAATGGAATACATTTTTTTATTTGAATCTCCAAGAGCGTGCCAAAGTACCAAAAGCCTCACCGAAAGTACGTAATAAACACCAGCTAGAAGACGCGATTTGCACTTTTAAACTCATTTGATTGCCGCATACTTCCTAAAAGTTGTGTTAGCTGTTTGATGTTTTATTTTATACAATACTACCTCACGGTAAGGTCAAAGTATATCACAATTTGTGTTTCACCTGTCAGGCTTCGCCAGGGTAATAAACTTGTTTCGCGTCCTATTCCGCCCATACATCAAATGTGCTCCTGAAGTGGCTACAGATGACGTCACAGATGCCTGAGTGTCATCACTGCTGCATGTCGCGATGCTGGCGGTTGGTCGTGGAGATGCTGGCGAAAAGCACGAGCGAACGCTAGTGTCGCTGTCGTCACGGCGTCCCAACTTCCGGCTGCTCTAGCTTCCGTGAACTGTCACAATGGAGAGCGTAGCTTCCGTGGACTGTCACAATGGAGAGCGACCTGCAGTAGAACAGGCGTCTGCTACATACACCACAGCTGCTACATACACCGCCAGGATCGCGACCGGCGACAGCATGACACTGGTATGACGTCACCAGACAGAAATCGAGGGACCACCCTTTTGGGACGCGGTAAACCACTGCGGTCGCAGACGATTCCAGGCCCGCTCTCCATGCAGAGCTGCACGGCCGGTCCCTTTCCCACGCGCTCGCGGCAGCGCGCCAGCAGATTCCTTGTACCGGCGCGCTGGCGGCGCGGTCACGCAGCGCCATGGGGTGGCCCTCCTTGGAACTGACGCGCAGTGGCTAATGGGAGCCTCGTTCCTTGAAACTATGACACGCGCCAGCCAAATGAACCGAAGCCGAAATTAATCCAATTTCGGCTTCACTGCATTTCAATGGGAGAACGAAAACTAGGTGACGTTTGGACATTTTGCGCGGCTTCAAAGCTGAAAGCCATCAGATCGCGGCTTCACTTGGAGAAAGGAGTTTAGGTGCCGTTTGGCGGGGCTTCAAAGCTGATGACGTCGGCTCGCTCCATGGGACAGTTAATGATTTCGAATTAAAATTAACCGATGTTTAATAAGTAAAGGTAACTAAAGGCGTTGACTAGCCACAAAAAGAATAAAACAAACTCGGGACAAAGGACGACGTCGTCCCTTGTCCCGAGTTTGTTTTATTCTTTCTGTGGCCATTCAATGTTATCAACAGGCTCTTCAATTAATGTGGACTAAAGGCACCTCGGTGAAATAAAAAATAATACTAATATTTAACTTTTATGGCACAAAACGTACACTTAAAATATGTTTTAGCATACTTTCAATATCTCAAGTATACTTTTCAAATACTTCTCGTGTAATTCAAAATGTAATGGTACGATTCGTGCGTCAACCCAGTGGGGCATGCTGAGGCCTGCTTGCTTAACGTATAATGTTTAATATAGAATACATAAAAAATGTACTATATACTATGAAAAGTGTCGCACAAAGGTGCAAAGTCAGTATATTTTAGTGTATTACGTTTTACCGTCTGTAGCATCTAAAATAGAGACAAAACAAACAACCAAAAGAGCTCAGTTAAAAGGAGTTGACATCAGTAAGCAGTAAACGATACTGTATCGGTTGCAAATGATATCTGTACGAACCCGAGTTGTATCGGTGCCCGTCTGAGCATGACATCCATAAAGCCGTGAAAATTTATTTAGGCGCTAAAGGAAACTCAAATAAAATATGTGGCATCTAAAGTAATCGAGAGGTGACATCTTTAATTAATGCTATATTTAATGAAGACTAAAGATATTTGTTTCGTGAAATCGCTCAAGTACTTCCAGGACCATTGCCAAAAAGTAACGCACCGCCATTATTGAGACCCATAGTTTACGACTTACCATTTGTTTTATTGTTTGACGAGACTGCAAGCAAGCTGGAAGCTGTAAATAAAGCGGAACGTTGAAGTTTATAAATATAAAACTTTGGTAGGGGCCAGTTGGTACGTATCAATTAAAAAGTTAAAAGGCGATTGTCCTTGCTATACGTGTGTATCCTTTCGTCCTGTTTCAGTTTGCGCCTTTTCACTTTTTAATTAATAAATACTTCAGCAATATGGAGGCAACGTCAAACCTGCAACCGGCGAAGCTACAAATGAAGAAACGCGAACAGCCCGGCCCATTTTTAAATGTTACTATTGCTGTCAAAACCACCAGAAACAGGCATTCGAACAAAGTAAGCCTAACCACATCTCACAGGAGTAAACAACTTTGGAAAGCATAAAAAAGGGTTCTTGAGCTAAGAAAAAAAAACAAAAAAACAAAAATAAATAAAGTCGCATATATGTATGTATATATATATATATATATATATATATATATATATATATATATATATATACATACATATGAATAAACTAGTAATAGGGTTGTGTTACATTAATTATTTACCAAATGCCTGATTTATTCTGTGCTCTGTCAACTGCTCTTTTTCATAACAAAATAAATAATACTAATACTCTTACAGAATATTGCTGGAGACAATACAAAAATAACTTGCGAAATACAGCATGACTGCTCGTTTCAGTTAAAGACGCTCCCAAAAGGGAAATCTTAGATCAGCTATACTTTTTTTTCGAGAATAAAATTGAGTGTCACCAGGAGTAGAAATTGCTTTGCTGACTATTTCTCGAAACAGCAGAGTGCTAATCCTCCTCCCTTCGCCTTCCTCCCCTCCCGATAGCAGGCGGCTTTCGCATACTGCCATCCAGGGTTGTAAAGTACCTAGGTACAAGTAACTGTAAATCGGTATCTAGGTACTTTGGTTGTACCTGAGGTACAAACCTAGGTACTTTCATTTCTCAGTATCTGTATCTGTATCTTAGGTACATTTTCCAGTAACTTGTAGCTAAGTGAAGTTACTTTTTACAGGTACTTTTCTATTCACTTCGTCAAAATCGTAGAAAATACAATATAACATAGAACTTAAAATAAATTATAATTACAGTCGTCAAGCAATTTAACTTCACGTAGTGTTTCCACGCAATAAATCAAACTCAAATTTTGCACTTTACAAAACTGAAAATGTTTGTGAAGAAAAAATAATGGGAGGACGAATAACCTTCGCCTTTAAGAGTTGAACGCGATAAGGTTATCGGGCCCCGTTCGCATGGCCTTCTCAATCGCTTCTCCTGCTCTTGAGTCACACAACGACCTAGTTTTTAGGATACAACACTCCCGGCGATCGAGGAGCTTTTGCCAGTGCTTTGATGCCATTTTACCCCGCAAGGTTTATTTATGTGTTTGCTCGGCACGCGCTAACAACACTCGATGCGATAATGCCTTTACCCTGACACAGACAGACATCGAGGCTCTCTAATGACGGCAGGATCGCAGTGCCATTCCCAAGCCCTCTGTTGCCTAGTCGGTAGCATGTCTGGCTTGCAACCGAAGGGTCGTGGGTGCGATCCTGCGTAAATTCTTCAAATTTTTCTTTGAATTAGTTTATGAAGTGGGATCATTTGAAACATGCGGTGACAATCAATTCGTATGTATTTAACCACCTTCATTCCACGCATGACGTCATGTTTCACATGAGTGTTGTGGGTTGTTTGAAATTCCCGCGCAAAGTCATGTGGCTGTGACGTCCCGACCCTATCGACCATTCAGGAATTTCCCGTCACGCCACCGACGCCACCGACATCCGACAGATTTTCTGTGACCCGAGCTCGCAAACGCGCTCGCCGTTAAAATATTCTCTGCCTTCCTAAAAACGAAAGAAAAAATGTGAAAGCTTGAAGACTTTCGCTCGTCGTTCCGTTGCTAAGGTTAGGTGCGTGTGCACTCGACTTTTCGTTTCTCCATGCCGCCGACGTCTTCTGGGCCCGCCAATGGCTTCGATGCCAGTGCTGGCGCTGAAGGGCAAGCCACGTCAACAAGCGAGTTTGAGCGGGACGTCGTAAACAGTGGAAGCTGTGTCCTCGGTGAGCCAATTGGAGCGTGAGAGTAAGGCACGTGAGGACTCAACTCCAATCCTTTCAGCAAGTGCTCGGCATTATGGAGGAGCAAGCGAGGTCTAATGTGGTTGCTGACGCCATCTCTTCAAGCTGTGAAGGATATTCGCCCACGCCTGTCTTCACGCGGTGAAACTCTACATACGATTGCCTCAAATCGCTTCACGGAATGCTTGTTCACAGTGAGGAAAAGTTGAAGGAAGTTTGTGAGAATTTTAAAATTTCGCGATTCACGAAGTCAGACATTGATTTTATTGATGAGTATGTTCAGGTGTTTACACCTCTCGCACAAGCCATAACTTGCACAAAAACAGCATGTTTATGGCATATCTCCTGCCTACAGTGGCTTCACTTCACAAAAAATGTCCGCGTTGCTGACGGAGAACTTGAGGTACTGCCGCCCGGTGGTCGAGAGCTTAATCACGGCGATCAATAAGAGGTTTGCAGGTATGGAGGAAGAAAAACATTTGATAATATCAGCCGTATGCCATCCAAAATTTAAGGTTGCATTGATAGACAACGAAGTGGAACGGGAAGCGGGCCTGGGATTATCTAAAGAAAGAACTTATGCGAACATCAACTATAGAAAAAGCGTCGTCAGGCGAACAAAGCGGTGAGGATGAAGAAGACTGTAAGCACTTCATTAACTTCGAAACATCGTCCTCATCTGCTTCATGAGGACAGTAGTTTGTACAGTACACCGAACTTGCTCCGACAAGAAGTCTGGACTGTCTCAAGCACATGCCGCTTCTGAGACGCGTGTTCTTAAAATTCAACACGGGGCTTCCAAGCAGTGCGGCGCTGGAGCGCGTTTTTAGCATAGGAGGAACAATTGCTACCAAACTGCGATCGAAGATGTCGGATGAACATTTCGAAGAAGTCCTGATTCTGAGGTCAAATCGAGCACTCAAGTGAAAAAGACAAAGTCTTCGAATGCTCTGGTGAGAGCGTTTTGCCTTATTTCTCCCATTGGCACCAATAAAGCACGTTTATCAAACT